CATACATAACATCACGCCTTTTATCCCCGAAGGGGAAGGCAGAGGTATACATTGTACACTGTACAATGTAACACCCACTTTCCACTATTTATGTTATGAGTCCCATGTAATATAGGGAGTGATACTATTCCCATCATCAACTATTGAGAATATAAAAAAACCCAGTAATACTTTGCCCGACCGGGAATCGAACTCGAGACCCGGGAAAATCATCGAATGACTGCTCCTGCCTGGGTGAGGCGGGAGGGAGTGTCAGACTCTTACTGACTAAAAACCACCCCGTTCCTTCTCCTGCACGTCGAGCCGGAGCCCCGGTTACCCGTTAGGTTCTTCGCGACCGGCAGTCGCACTTGCGACTACTCGGCCAACGAGGCAGTTGAACATAGTATCAGATGGTTACCTACACGTTTAAAAACATCTGTGTATAACTATGTGGCCTGAAAATCACGATAAACAAATACCCTTTCGCATTCAATAATTCCCCGAACGGATTAATCGCAAAATGAACGATTTTCCAAACAAAATAATTTGGTTTAACGATATCGGAGATATTATTTCAGTCTGAAACGGTTCAATTATTCTTTTTTACTATTAAATAAACATCGGTTCGGTTGGAAAACAAATCAGTTTTAAGGAATTCTTGTCTCCAAAAACATGTATAATTTTTGGTTTAAAAAAGAAGATCAATAGGTATATGTGTTACACGAGTTTCTATAGTAACGTCCACTGCCGATTCGGAGTCTGTGAGAACCTAACGGGTTACCGGGGCTCTGGCTCGACGTGCAGGAGAAGGAACGGGGTGGTTTTTAGTCAGTAAGTGTCTGACACTCCCTCCCGCCTCACCCAGGCGGGAGAAGTCATTCGCTGATTTTCCCTCCTTAAAAAAAATTGGTATACGAGTTTATAAAGAAAAGTACACTAGAAAACCTGAACGAATAATTCATTATTATTAAAATTTTCAATCACCGCTACCCGCCTTGAGCAAACGAGGTGATGAATGCCCATATTACGTGTGAGAGGCCTTTACTCGCCAGTGGACACTTATAGGCTGTCGATGACGATGACACACTTCCACCAGCACCACCAAAAAAATGTTGATTTAGTTTAGCTCACATAGTTGAGCTAGTTTTTTAAACATGTGCGTCCGGTTAAACTTGGTATGCCGAACTTAAACTAACTTATTTCTTTTTTGTAAATCTGCCTCCGATCTTTCTTTTTTTATACCATAAGCCGGTAAACGAGCAGACGGATCACCTGATGGTAAGCAATCGGCGTCGCCCATGGACAGCTGGATCCTCATGGTATATGGCAATAGTCTCACCCTTTATTACATGCACTCTTAAAATAAATAGTGTAAATTGAGGGTTATATGTACAGTGGGATTGAGTGCCGTTTTTTGCACCTAAGTCTACCTCTTCGGGGATAAAATGCGTCGTATTATGTATGTTATGTATTTAAGAAAAAATGCTGTGAAAAACTTACCATTAGCAAAACCCGCACAGAACTTGTTAGTATTAAGTTTATTGTGAAAGAAGACAGGATTACTCTTCAAACACGTCGCCTCCGATACTATAGGAATAGTAATTTGTTGCAGAGTGGTCGATAATATGTCCTGATGGTCGAACCCCCATCCTACCACCTGATAAAACAAAAGGAAAACGTTAAACCAAAGTACCTATTAAAACTCCTTATTAGTTGGACTTTATCAATTATTGCTGGATGCTAATAGTTAGGAAAGGTGAAATTGAGTCTTAAATTCTTTATCAGAGTCTGTATTTCCTGAAGGGTATAACTGGGTGTCTTCAAGGCCCGAGTGAATAGGTTGCTTATGGGACGACGTGAGCCATCATAGACAGCATCATTGCTTACCACCAGGCGAGATACTGATCAAACGTCGGCCCGTCAAATATGAAAAATCAAATCTTTTAATTCCGAAATTTTCACGTTTGGGTACTATCTAGAGATGATGATCATTTCAATTATTATTTATTATGTCTATATTGGGAATATGAGTGTCTTCAAGTCTAGAGTGAATATGGTACTTATGGGCAGGCGTGCTCCATCATAGGCGGCATTATCGTTTACTATCTGGCGAGACAGCAGCCCAACACTCCAACCAATTTAAAAAAAAAACATTATAAAAAGGATAAAACTTCTTATGACACTAATGCAACTTATAGAGATCATAAAAGCATCACTGATCGAGGCAAAACTACAGCTAACATCAAGAGTTCAAGGTCGAAAATTCAACATACCGATCCATAAATGCCACCACTCGGCAGTTTCTTGTAGAGACTGGACTGCCACAAGCAAGCTGGTTGAACGTAATCATCAAATACTGCTTCAGACTTCAATTTCAATAAAGCAATATCATTATTCAAAGTTCTGGGATCAAACTCCTTGTGAAGAATAATTTCGAATACCTGAAAAAGTAATGTTTATTTATATAATGTAGTTGATGATTTAGTATTCATCGGTAAGAGGATTTTTTTATCCGATGCTAAAGAAATAATAGGGAATCTAACTATTCCGTTAGTTAGGTATTGAAAAAATATTCGACACGTATTTTTTTTATTTTGTCGTATATTAAAATAATACTTAGATAAAACGAATCAAAGTTTAGGAGTGGGAGCTAAAACGTCATTTCTACGTATAAAATGTACATAGAAGTGACGTCCGGCATTATTTCAAACCAATATATCTTCGAAAGTATTCGTTTCCGTAAGTAAATAAAAAATACGTGTATAATGTTTTTTAGTTAGTTCCCAGATGGACATTAAATAAAAATTAGTCATCTACCCTATTCTAGTCAGAGGTTGATTCCACCAGGTCCAGAAATCAAACATAGTTTACAATATTATTCGTACTCCGTTGAATTAAAAATCAGTTTCTTCTGAATATTTATAACAGTTATATTGGAAAAGACTTTAATCCTAATGAGTTAGACAATTTACCTTCCATTCGTTAAGACCTGGACCAATCTAGACTATAGGGAAAAGTAATTAACGTTCTTGATTAATTATCGTATCCCTAAATTTGTAGGTGTTGAGAAAAATAGCCCGTGAAATCGCTCACCCGCGTTGGACCTAATATATCACCTTGCGGCATTCCTATTTATACCTCGGTTAGAAGGATTAATGATAGACAATTTGTTCTGTGTCTTAGCTAATATTTTCTGTTTTTATGATACTTATAGTTTCGGTGATATTGACTATATCTATTGAGGTAAGAATTATTGGAAGTGTAAAGAATATAATATGTTTATATCAATATTACTTAAAACTAACTACAATTGTGTACGTAAGTACAGCACTAATAACATTACTGAGGATATGAGTGACTATCGGTATCTTTTTTGTGAATAATATAATAGGGCAATTTTTTAGGACTAAGGGAAATTTACAACTGTAGCAGGTGCCTAGCTTTGGTAAAGAAAAGTCTAACTTAATATAGCCTTAACTTAACTTTACTTGATATATTCATTAGGTACTTTGTGACCAATTTAGGGCTCGTACACTAAACTGCGAATTGCTGCGATGCGATTTCGTATTACAAGGCGTCTCCCAGGGTGACCATTCCTTCGACGACCGTCAACCGGTCGTGACAGGTCGCCTAGGTCGTGACATGGATCGTGAACAGAAGTTCACTTCTGTTATTGCTTAGGAAAAACAGGAAAAAGAAACAAAAAAGATTTTGTGAAGATAAGATTTTGATGTGCGATGCGAATCAATTCGCAAGTTCTTGCGATGCGTACAGGGAGCTCATACATTTTTGCAATGCAACGTCGCATCGCAGTTTTGTGTACGAGCCCTAAGTGATAAAAGATGATTAAAGTACCTCTCTTTCTTGTGGTGCAACATCTCCACCAATAAGATTATGTTTTCCAAGAATAACACTCAAAGATTTAGGAACAACTGCATTCCCTCTAATTGATGCGCAGTGAGCAGCTGGAAAATGAAATAAATATTTGTAAACCAACAGTGGGAGAGCCATGCTTAGGTACGAATGGGTCGGCTCGACCGGAGTGATACTACGGCCTCACAGAAAACCAACGTGAAACAATACTAGCGTTGTATGTCGTCGTGTGAGTGAGGTTACCGGAGGCCCAATTACCCTTCTCCCTTCACCAATATCCCCAATTCCTAAGTCCCCAACAATCCTCAAATTCTTTATTCCGGTAACGCACTTGTAACGGCTTTGGTGTTCCAGGTGTCCATGGGCGACGCCAATTGCTTATCATCAGGTGATACGACTGCTCGTTTACTAGCTTGTCCCATACAAAATGACATGCGTTTCATACAAAAATCTGATTAATCGTATCTAGTCATAAATGCCAGTAATATTAGATTTTTTTTGGGGGAAAAACATGAATTTACTTGCCTGTCCATAGGCGAAGTTGATTGCTTACCATCAGGTGATCAGTCTGCTCGCTTAAAGGCTTATCCCACAAAAAAAATATTTTGTGTTACTTATTATCATTTATATGTACTAACTCCACAATCTTACCTCAGTGAAATTAAGAAAGAAGCTTATCTATTAATTAAAATATTAAATTATTAGCATAATATTACCTGTTAAAACCAAAGTCTTGGACAGTAAAGTTCCTCCGCATATGTACTTAACAATATTCCCCTCAACTGTGAACAAAGCCACATGCCAGGGCCAGTCTCCTGACTTCGTTGGCTGGCCATGGACTATCAGTTCTGTATGGACTACCTTACGTCTTCCACAAGATTGATCAGCTGGTACTGTCAGGGTGATTTCAGCTGTATCTTTGACGCCTTCAATAAGTGAGTCGAAATAACCCTGGAAAGAAAAGAGGATAGTATTGTAGATGAAGCATTTTTTTTTGTTCTTGACGAAGAAATTTAAAGTGATTATTATTATTTAACAGACCTAATAGTTTTTTTTACTCAATTTCCAAAACAAATTATACCCTCTAATATTATGTTACATAAAGGTGCTTCCTCACCGGGAGCATTCACGTGTAATGTAACTGTATTGGCCAGGGCTTCGCAGGAAAAGACTCAAAAAATACTAAGCAAGTGGAAATTTAATGAGGTGTTAACTCAACGAGTACAGCACAGCAAGTGAAGAAATTAGCGTCGGTACATACAAAATAAATACAACTATTTAATTGTTAACATTATACTAAGCACACGTCGTTGCTATGGTATATCATTCAGGCGCTCGTACAGTAACATTATAGATTCAACTTTGAGCATTAGATTACAATATTACCTCCCTGACTAACGAGCATTTGAGCATTTCATAGCAATATGTCAGACATTGATGTTACAAGTTGTTTACAAGGTGCGCATAGTAATGGTCGGTTCTCCTCCTTCACTGATGTAATGCTCAGACCTGTAACGCGAATGCTCCCGGTGAGGAAGCTCCTTAAGCTTACAATATGTCAAACAAAAACGTTCCATTGCAATGCGTCCATTATTTTAATAGATTAGCATGTATAAATATGAAGTTAATACTCGTCGTAAGAAAATCTCTTTGTACTTACGATCAGTGCTTTGGGAAATTGAAGAAAATCACACTTAAATATATAATAGCTATTACCCGCAACTTCGTTAACGTGAAGTTATGCATATTTCTTGTTAATTTATACTTTTTTGACGCGACAACGTGTTGATTGGCGAGGCGTATTTGAGAGCTAGTATGAAACGGAACGTTTATTGTCTACTCAAGATGGCGACTGCGGTTTGTCTGTCAGTGTCATTAAAATGAATTAATAAAACGAAATTATCTCCGTTATCCGAATTTTGCGGATATAAATTGTCGACTCGAAATCGATTTTTTTTATGTTTTGTTATTCAGGGAAGGTTTCAATCGCGTCTACCGTACGTACCTTGACGAAATTATTAATATAGAAGATAGTTCTGTCTCTACAAATTCTATGTAAAATGACAAAGATGGCACGATGTTAAGTACAACTTGAAAAACGTCTTTTACTATTCGGGCGTCAGGTATTTCAAGAATATTTGAACAATGGTCGTATACAAAAGTACTTACAGATGAGGGCTTGTTACAGATTTCGTCATTGTCCAGTATAATGCTTTGGACGTACGGTATTGTACCTGTGGCTGGTCCTCTGACGTTAATATTTAGATTAGGAGATCCTTTAAAGAATCTCACGTTGAATGAGTTTGAATTGGTGTACGCAGTTATTCGAGCTTTCATTGGATCCGACTGAAACAGGTCAAGAAAAATTATTCTTTATGAGTAGACTGAAAACTTATAAAAAAAATAAGCTACGGCGTGGTGTATATGGCATTAAATGTGGGAGAACCATGCTGTGGCACAAATGGTCTGGCTCGACCGGAGTGATACCACGGCCTCACAAAAAACTGACTTGAAACAACTGTTACGTTGTATTTCGTCGTCTGAGTGAGGTTATCGGAAGCCTCCCTTCTCCAATGTCCTCAATCTTTGAATCCCCAACAATAGTCAATTCCTTATCCTCAAAAGGCCGGTAACGCTCTTGTAACGCCTCTGGTGTTCTAGGTGTCCAAGAAAAAATACGTGTCTAAAGTTTTAAATTAATGTACTAGACGGACATTAAAATAAAATTTAGGAAACTATCCTATTTCACTTACCAAAACAACAGTAGCATCAGAATCAAACTTCAAATTAATTTGCGAATACTTTTGTATTGTCCCTTTAATATTCAAATAATACTGATTCTCTTCACCTGGTGGTAGACCGGATTCAAAAGTGGCTGTTATGTTGTGATTATCTTCACAAGGATAGGCGTGAGCTAAAGGGTTGCCTACTAGACCTACTTGGATTGATCTATTAGGCATACTCAGGAATAGAAGTAACCAGAACATTTTGAACAGTGATGATTAGCAATTTGCGGTGAAGTGCTGGAAATAAAATGGTCATCATAAACATCATCATCACGCCATCATCATCATTCCATCACGCCTTTAACCCCGAAGAGGCAGAGGTGTATAATATGGCACTTAATAACTTTTCACCTTTTAATTTTTTTATCGCATTCATTAAGGGGTGAGCCTATTGCCATATACCGGGTACAATTCCAGATTCCGTGCTACTAATGAATTTTTTTTTAATAACCGAGTAATCATTTGCCCGTCCCAGAAATCGAATCAGAGACAGAGTTGTAAATTGGGGTTTCCCGAAGTACCTAATAGGTATGACAAAGAGCTATCGTCTCTATATTAGTCATAGGTCAACTAGTAGACTAGCTAGTAAAAAATGTAGTATATTACGTCGATTTAGAAGTAACGAAGAACCTTTGCCAAAAATAAAAATATGAGATAAAATAAAAAGTATATTATCATGCATGAAAATATTGATGATTGCTGATGAAACGAAAGAGGTATGTAGGAATCGTAGTAACTGGCGATCCATAGTCTTTGCCTACCCCATGGGAGCCATGGGAGACAGGCGTGAAGTTATGTATGTATGTATGTATATATTATTATGTATCTATCTCGAGACAATAAAACATTTAGTAAACCAATTGTTGCTAAGGCGGGAGCAGTCAATTTTTTTTTTGTTTTTTTTTTTTTTTTATGAAAACGTTACCCCTCACTAGGATTTTCTCCTGTGTCGTGGGTGCGTTTACAAACATACAAGTTCACATACACAATGACACCCAGACCCGAAACAACAATTTGTGGATCACACAAAGAGTTGCGCGGTGCGGGAATCGAACCCGCGAGACGTTGCGCGGCAGCAGGTTGCCCAGCCACCGCACCAACCGTGCAGACACAGTCACACATTCGATGATTTTTCCCTCTTAAAAAAAACAATTGTTGCTGATTTAAATTATTTTTAGTAAATAATAATTATGTTTTGATCGCCTTTTTGAATTGAAAACCAATGACCAAAGATAAACTTATAATGCAAATAAAGAAACAACATGTTTTACACTGCACTGTTGTTTTAAGAGCAAGAAGGTAACAGGACAAACAAATCAAAAACAAACTTACCAATAATAGCTTTAGCGTCTATATTCCAACCATTCAGTCTCAATTCACAATCTTCATCTACCAAATCTTACACTGTATCTATTAAAGTAATTTCTTCATCACTTTTTACTAAATCTTCATTATAATAAAACTCTTTACTTTACAAGACTACTGCACGTCCAAGTTCATTGGAAACTTCAATGCTCTCATCAGGTTTTCCTTGTTGATTCACCATGTTTGTTGTTTGTCCTTTTCTCTCTTGGTTGGTTGGAAGGAGACGGATTTAACGTGAAGTGCATCGTCCTATGATGTATTCGATTTTATGTATTATTTTTATTTTCGTTGTTGTTTTTTGGTCGTTTGCTTGTCAGTAACAATGTTAAATAAGTTGAAGATTCGAAAATTAATCTTGGTGTTTTATTAGATCAAGGAAACATAGAGTTGAGTTAAAAATGAAGGAATGTATAAATCAAACGTAATTAAGAGCTAAGTAATTAGTATGTGTATGTGTATAACATAACATCACGCCTTTTATCCCCGAAGGAGAAGACAGAGGTGCACACTGAGGTAACACCCACTTTTCACTATTTATGTTACGAGTCTCATGTAACCCATGTGCCTCATTGGCCGAGTAGTCGCCAGTGCGACTACCAGCCAAGGGGTTGGGTTGGGTTCGATTCCCGGATCAGGCAGAGTATGAAGTACCGGGCTTTAAAAAAATCCCAGTAGTAGCACAGAGTTTGGAATTGTGCCCGGTATATGACAATAGGCTCACCCCATAAATAGTAGATTGGTTGAAAGTCATCGAATGACTTCTCCCGCCTGGGTGAGGCGGGAGGGAGTGTCAGACTCTTATTGACTAAAAACCACCCCGTTCCTTCTCCTGCACTTCGAGCCGGAGCCCCGGTAACTCGTTAAGTCCTCCGCGGCACCTCTGCCTACCCCTTCGGGGATAAATGGTGTTGTGGTATATTATGTTGGAACAAAATAAATTCAAATACTTGCCAAGCGAAGTTGTTAGAATCAAACCTGTCCTACATTGTGCGCCTCCAATCATTATAAGTTCCATTTAACATACGACTCACTTAAGCAACATAGTTGAGAATTGATAACTCAATCACTAAGGCTGTAGCCTATAGCTTGTATCCTGTAGCTCGTAGCTTGTAGCCCATATACCAAGTCTGGGATATGCCTGATAATATACTGCCATAGTCTGTGATCGATTGATTGTTACCGTACTATGTACTGGGGTTATAGAAGCTGACTGTTACACCGAAGTGTAATTCTCCTTTTTTAACGTTACCCCACACTTGTATTTTCTCCTGTATAGAAAGAAGGAACGAAAAAACATTTTTTCCGCACCAGGCACGATGCAGCATAAATAAAATATAAAAAAGACAATAAAGATGTGACAATGGAAGTAATAAAAACATTGAAAAATTAAAACAAAAGAATTAGAAGATAGACGCTGACAACATGCCTATGCTAAAAGGGTCACCCACTCACTGTAAGCCGCCTGGCTAGCCGCCTATACAAGTCACCCAGCACTGATTTTCAGTGGGCACCCATGCAGTGATGCACGGATGTATCGTACAAATCACCCAGCACTGATTTTTAGTGGGCACCCAAGCAGTGATGCATAGATGTATCGTGGGTGCGTTTACAAACATACAAGTTCACAGACATATAACACCCAGACCCGGAACAACAATCTGTGGATAATCAAGTATCGAACCAGGACATGTTGTATGGCACCCAGCTACCGCGCCATCCGTGCAGTCGAACTCTTGTCGTGAGGTGGCGAGGTGTTTAGACGACTAATTTTTATTTTAATATCCGTCTGGTAGATTATTTAAAACATGAGACGCATTATTTTTATTTTCTTACGAATTTACCACATACCATAACATAACATCACGCTTTTTATCCCCGAAGGGGTAGGCAGAGGTGCACGTTATGGCACTGTACAATGTAACACCCACTTTTCACTATTTATGTTATGAGTCCCATGTAATAGGGGGTGAGCCTATTGCCATATACCGGGCACAATTGCAGACTCCGTGCTACTACTGAGATTTTTTTTAAAATACCCTGTACTACTTTGCCCGAAACGGGAATCGAACCCGAGACCCCTTTCCCGGCAGTCGCACTTGCAATCACTCGGTCAATGAGACAGTTTATCAAACAAAACTCGTAAAAAGTGAAAACATCTTCAAAAAGGATCATATCTACAGCGAAGCAGTGTCAAACATGCATGTACGTACGTACAGTATTGAAATACCCAATTAATCTTGGTAGCAACCCTGTTTACATTTCTCGACTTTACTCAATCGACACCTCTACTCAATTACAAACCCTCTTCCTACACCATAAAGGTTGGATTTCCATTGCAATCTAAGCGGTAAGCTGAACACTGCATATCGATTATCGACACACCGATTAAGGATGTCACTTGCATGGATTTGCCTAATTCATAGTGCATGTGTCGGCGCGTCAGCCTGTGACACTGTCTAGATATGGGAACGCGTTTACACCGTACTGATATTTGAGAAGACAGAAAATTACCTTTTGGTAAATGACTGCCTCGTTGGCCGAGTGGTCGCAAGTGCGACTACCGGGCAAGGCCTCGGGTTCGATTCCCGGGTCGGGCAAAGTATTCCTGAGTTTTTAAATATTCTCAGTAGTAGCACGGAGTCTGGAATTGTGCCCGGTATATGGCAATAGGCTCACCCCCTATTACATGGGACTCATAACATTAATAATGAAAAGTCGGTGTTACATTGTACAGTGGCATAATACGCACATCTGCCAATTACCCTCCCCTTCCCCAATCTCCCCAATTCCTGAATCCCCAACGATCCTCAAACTCCTAATCCCCAAAAGGCCGGTAACGCACCTGTAACGCCTCTGATGTTCTAGGTGTCCTTGGGCGACGCCGATTGCTTACCATCAGGTGATCCGTCTGTTCGTTTACCGGCTTATGACATAAAGAAAAAAATCTGCCTACCCCTTTGAGGATAAAAGGCGTGATGTTATGTTATGTTGTTTGATAAAATGATGTTTTAGTTGGTAAATGACCTAAGCTACACAACGTCTACTAGTGATCAAAGATCTTCCTCTTATAAAGGGGAATGCCAAAATCTTCACTCATCAGATGGCGTTGGAATCATAGAATTAGCCACAATTCAAACGACGCTAGCCACTTTCTTTTATATATCTTTGGCCACTAGGTATCATTCCTGTTGGTAAGCAATAATGCGGCCTATGATGGAGCACGCCTATTCATAAGCAACCTATTCACTTGCCCCTTGAAGACACCCAGGTTATATCCTTCAGGAAACACAGACTCTGGCAAAGAACTCCACTCCTTAGCAGTACGCACAAGGATGCTTGATGCGAAGCGCTTCGTGCATGGGTGAGATATCTACCATGAATTGGTGGCGCTTTGCTGATTGTCTTATATTACGATGATGGAAAGGACTAATATAAAAAAAGAAAGCCATGCCCTGTTGTAGGAAATATTCAGTCCTTCTTTGACCACCATCTAGCCTGGTGGTAAGCGATGATGTGGCCGACGATGGAGCACGCCTACCTATGAGCAACCTGTTCACTCGGGACTTGAAGACACCCAAGTCATATTTATATGACTGATATAATAATAAGTTAAACTATTAAACTATTTTATCCATATTCAGGTACATACATTCAGATCTAATTTTAATATCATTGGAAGTCGTCTTCTTAATATCAGCCACAAAACGCTCATTGCTGAACACAGGCCTCTATAGGACAATAACTGGGAGATTGGGTGATCCTCATTGGGGACATTATCTGGTTCCAGCTTATTTGTGTGACAATATTCTTATTTACAACTATAGAGGTATACATATCATGATAAGTAAGTACTGACACAGTCATGTCATCCAGCAGTCGATATGATGGAATTCACGAGCCGACCTGTTCACTTCTATTGTGTGATTAATTAATTTGTCTACACTCCTTGTATGGTTTTGGGATTCAATACAGAAATCTAGAATACATACATATAAATAAATATCATAAATCCTTTTTCGATTACGGGAGTTACACCAAAACGCAACCAAGTACGTTGAAAAAAGGTGGACAAAGTCTCTTGAAACAATGACTGTGGCACCTGGCTACTATAGACTTACACGCAGAGCACCTTAAACACATTGTCACGAAAGACATCTGTCATAAGACATCTATCATTTTCATAAGTCATAATATGGCCGTGCGCTTCGCAGGTCGCCCGTGTGCATGCGGCTGATCCGTGCACACGCCTCAGCGCACTACTGACATCTTGGTGCTCCAATCATTTCTCAATGGCGTTATGTCCGCCATTTTTTCAACGTTCTTAAACGCAACTAAGTTTTAACTCGTCGAGTACCGGTTTTGTAGACACAATTATAGAACAATAGGTTGCGGTCACCGGTGACCGCTTGGTGTTTGACAGTTTAAGGAGAAGTACTAAAGATTGTAGTTATTTTTAATATTATCAGTAGTAGCACCCTTATTACTGCC